GGATCGACCATGGCCGCGACCGGGGCGCTGAGGTCTCGTTTGCGGGCCATTGCCGTATACTTGGTCATCGACGGTGGCATTGGAGCCCATAGACACAATAGAGAGAGACCGTTTATGGGCGTGGCCAGAAACCTGCGTAGGCGGGGGCGGCTGGGGAGTAGGAGGCCACTGCTGGATGCTGTTCCTGAGGCGGGAGCCCGGAGAGGGTACGTTGAGAGACAATGTCGAGCGGTGGCTACGAGCAGACCCAGGCGGTACCAAGCCGTTGCTAGACGTCACGCCCCCTCGAGGGCTCAGCAACGGCGAAGGCTGTCTCGTTCGATCGGTTCTCGGGGACGACAACGAAGGTTGGCGTGGATTGGAGGTGAGCTGGCTGGAATCAGGGGCGACATTCTTGAAGGTGATCTGACACTTGATGTCCTCGCCGGCAAACACGGTTTGGTCATCCCATTTTATGAAGACGCGGATGTTGGTGGAGCGTCCTTCGGGCGGCATGGTGGCACTCCTTCGGACGAAGGAGAGAGATCATGAGCGCGACCTCATTGTCGTCGATGACAGAGACTGGGGGTAAGGGATCGCGCTCGCAGCACGATGGCGCTCAACCAGAACGCGCAGCGAACGGGAATGTGGATGTAGGCGTAGTCGTAGTCGTAGTCGTAGTCGTGATGGGGGCAATAGAGGGGGATATTTGGTGATGGCTTAGTCGTGGAGGGCTCCTAGAGTGATGCAGTATTGCTTGTGCATAAGCTCTATGTACCTACTTAATCCAAGGTCGGTCGTGGTGGTGGTCGTGGGTCGAAGGTCGGAGGGGAGACTCGAGCAATGAGCCGGGATAGCCGCCTCCTATTCGATGCTTGTTAAAGATGACGTCCTGTACTAAGAGGCATGTAGTAGTTTATTGATTAGCCAAGGGATGCACAATGGAAGCTTTTCAAATGACAATGCGAATGTATGTCAATTCATGAATTCATGAGAGACAAATGCGACTAGGTATTCACAAGGCTCAGGTCGACGTAGTAATACTTCAAATGGTATGGTGCTTACGAGTCTGGACTTGCAGCATAGCTCCATTCGATCATGGTTGCCCATCCGGGAAAGAGTACCTGCCTGCCGAACGCTAGACGGGTACCTTAGGTATAGCTGGCCCCAACCCCACATACCGACTGACCTTCGATCTATAACCTAACTACTCATCCTGGTCTTGTCCATCGACCATCGGGAATACATCATCAACATCTTTAATTTGCAACCAGTTACTCGCTATATCTTACTGAGCTGACATTCTGTAATGTATCCCGCTTTCATGACGTAAACGTGTAGGTGTAGGTGTACCTGGACCTGATACCTGGTTTGGGCATCTCGAGAGTGAAGGTAAGACAAGACGTTCGTGAAAAGGAAAAGTGTTTATATGACAGGTAACGATAACTAAGTATCTACATTTCCATCCTTCAAACAAAGGTAGCTCGACACAAGACTCCTCCCCTATGCACCTGGTTTATACAAAAAAGACGCTCGGCTTGCCGAGTTCCCCCACTTCAAATCCGTGACTGACTGACGCTTAAAGGAAAATGTATCAAAGAGTGTGGGCCAAATGCTATCTTATATACAAACCTCGTGGCCATATGCCCGTTCCTGAGCATCGAGCCCTAATACTATCGTCGTATTGTCCAGGATCCCCGGGCGGCGTTCGTTATGTCTGCCCAGACAATCAATCACCGTCTTACCCACCCTCGTTTTTCCAGCATCCATATCCATAGGCGATCGTGTTCTTAGTGCTGTTCCTACAGCACTCTCCTCAATCCTCGCGACATCAAGGCAACTCTGACAATAGCAACTTAAATCCAGTTGCCCCCCATATTCTTCTTGTGTTCTTCGTGATATGAGTCGGAGACGCCTCCACATCCACGACAGGGGACCACGGTCCCATACGTGCATTTTCCGCATTTTCCGCAATGCCACTCTTGCCGTTCACGGCAACTTCCGCAATCTCTGCAGTGCCATATCTGATGGCCCTGCTGCCAGCTTCCGAGTCGCTCACTATTGCTGTAACAGAACGAGAAGAACCATTCACCGTTCTTATCGCCGAGTCCGAGGCCGAGACGTATCAACTCGCGTTGCAGCTTTTCCGTTTGTGCTTCTGGATCCGGCCCACTATAACTTGTTTCCCATTTCACCCGCCACGCGTCAATGGCCTTGTCGTTGCCATCTGGTACGTAATCTAGACCTGTCAGAAGGTGGTCAAAGAGGTAATCAAGCGTGAGGTTTTCGTTTTGTTTATGCTTTTGCAGGTATGTGATGAAACAGGGGTCAAGTTTAACATCAGCGCCGATAATTTTATCGAGTGCGATATTATTAAAGTTATTTTGGCACGTCTCATCACAACCACAGGATGCAATGCAGCCGTAGCCCTGATTACTGCAAGCACAGGTCTGGCAAAGATGAGCGTGCTGGGAACCAGAATCCTCGTGCCCATTCTCGCACTGGCAGCCAGTAGAAGACGGTGCAGGGCCATCTGTCTTTTTCTATTGACATTTTGCGTTAGTTGAACTGTAGCTTGGCAAAGTGTATGGAGGCTTCACGCCAACTCAAAAAACGGGTGTTTTCGGCTTACCTCAGTTACCGGCGCATCCGGCCTGTACTCAGGAATTGGTGCCAACGATTGGGTGTCTTCAAACTCTTCGAGATCCTCTTCAAATTCCACCCTAACTTCAGGGGTGGTCTCAGAACCAAATACCCGCCCATCGATACTACCACCCATGCTGCGCACATCGACAGTAGCTAGACTTTCCTCGGGAGTGAGGGCCCATTCCTGTTCCCAACGCAGAAACTGCGGCGTCTCGTTAGACAACCATGAGTCGTACCAGCGTCCAACAGGCGGCCTCTGGCGAAATTCTTCGAAAAACTTCTGACCCAACTCCTCCGTGAGGCGCTCCAGTGTTGTTCGCATATTGCGAATTATGCGCATCCGTTCTGCTTTGTCATGAGGGGACATGCCACTCTTCTTAGAAGCTTGTACTTGTCTCATGAACCCACTGCTGATGTTGCCTTGGATATCGCAAACAATCGACTCAGAGACGAACTTAATCATTTGTTCGTGCGCTGCCGGGTCGTCGGCTGGAATGGCGCTCCAACTAACAGGGCGCGCCGTAGGTATCCCATTTGGATGCAACCGCCTCTGTGGATTAACCTCCATCTTGTTCTCAACTTGCTTTGGATTCTGCCACATTGTCAAAGTCTTGAGTCGATGACGATCAGTATACTGTAATCGCAAAGAGAGTAGAAAATGTTTCAACCACGACAGCACAGCGAAAACAAGATACATACAGGCAAGCCACCCCAATATCCACTTTTTACACCAAGACCATCAAGTTTAATAGAATTTGTATTGGCTGATTACGGACTCATACTCAGTTTATTCTACTCGAGTACCACATGTTCACTATGATTTGTCAAGATTGCTACTATGATTAGTACTAGTTGCCCCCCTGAGGCGATCCTTCGACAGGGTACGCTTCTGGAAAACAGTCAGCAAGGCAGGCTACCAAGGCCCTAGTCAGAAGTCAAAAATAACACCACGTCAACGAACGTTAGGGCCTCTATAAAGGGGCCGCACGCCAACGTCTTGAATGTCAAAAACGAACCATTACCCACGAACTAATCTGTATTATATCAATCAAAGAGTGGTTGCATAGTTGTCACACGTCGTTGCGGCTCAAGCTTCACACCCTCAGCAGGAATTGTTTATTACTGGTCCGCCACTCGTTCCTGCTGTGTGGCTGACGGCAGGCAAGACCGGGAATTACTAGAACGTGGTACGACCCTCTTTCAGCTGATGGAACTCTGCTGGAGGAGCTGGCAAGATGGCTTTTCAAATTTAGAAGATAACTACGCATACGCTGTTACTGTCGGCTCAGGAGCCGCGGCTAAAGCTGGCTTGGCGTCATCGATCTTTCGTGTATTTGGTATATGAGGTAACACCCTTACTATCACCTACCCTAGACTCCTATTATACTAGGTACAGTATGAGATCGGGAACTCCCGTAAGATCCGGCGGGTTCTACTCACGGACCAAGGCTTGTCTGCATTAGTCAGATAGCGTAGTGGGCACTCTAATCTGTCTGTAACACATGCTTTGGCTGCCTCATGTCTGCACTGTACCTATGGCGCAATAGTTGCTACGCACGCTAAGAATTCCGCCCAGGAATGTTAAGAGCCGCCTTGAAGCTGTGTAAGTAATTGGATCTGTCCGCCTGTCTGCCGAACCTCCTAACCTAGTTACTACCAAAATGCCTCCCTTTCATTAAAAGCTTCGAATAAAAACAACCTGACAATAACACCATAAGTTTCGTATGGGACGGAATTTTTGACAGGAAATCGGCCAATCGTCTCACTAACCTATCTAAGCAGAAATCCATCGACCGCCATGTGGCCCCAGATCTTCCATTTCCAAACCATGCTTTCGCTTCGCGTGGTGAACAGACTAACGATCCTACTTATCCACAGCTGGTAACGGACCTGCGGTACCGAGTATACGTCCTTGGGATGGACAAGGTATCTGATAGATCTAGTCAGGTCTCGAATGGTCGCTTAGCCTTGAAGGCTTTCATATATGGACAATTCTTGTTATCTTGTCCCTTGCTATAATTTCACAACCGTAACGAAATGGGTCACAACGTGCTTCGCGAGCCTCAAGACGTAGGGATCCCATGCAACTCAATTAAACCAGACGCTACTATTTCCTCTATAAAATTAAACCAGCCCAAGAATCGAATAGTCCAAGAAGGCAAGCAAGCTTGTTCATGTATGCTTCGTTTGCGAAGAGAGCTATACTCCGTATCCGGTTTCGCAACACTAGTGTCACTACCCGTTCCCACAAAGAAATTATCAACTGGAAAATTTCTTAAACGAAATGCCCCAGTCTTTCGTCGTCTGAAGTCCAATCCCACGTGCATCCCATCCTGACTGAATCATAACCATCCCTTCGGGACCGTCAAATCAGCGCCCGGTTAGCTCAATCGGTAGAGCGTGAGACTCTTAATCTCAAGGTTGCGGGTAAGTTATCATGTTCATCGCACGGTTGTGCTCAATTTATACTAACAACCTTGCCAGGTTCGACCCCCGCATCGGGCTCAATTCCTGATGCCTCCCAGTTCAACTGAGAGCAGCAACCCAATTTTTTCTCCTTTCTATCCTATATCTCTTTCTCTCTAACTTTCTTTTTAGCTATTCATATTTCTCTAACACTTGTTTGCAATTTGTTATTGGTTGCACATAATGCCAAGATTGTGCGTTGGTTGGCACCCACATCGCTTATAAGTTATAGCATCTCATCCAGCCCCTATTGCAGAAACACCAGATTATCAGACCATTAGCTATCAATTAGTTGGTCATTGCCTCTATTTGAGGTCGTCAATGCGAATCCATCATCACTAGCCCAGGCAGTGACGAGGCGCATACGTCTTAATGCCCATATCTTCTTCGAGTTAAACATGTAAACGACTCCATGAGCTTATATCTTCCCTTCGGGACTATATATTCATATTAAGATTAAAGTTACCTTCCTATTCCTAAGTAAGTCATAGTTCTGTTCGAGTGCCCTATACGGCGTCAGACATAACATCTTGAACGTTTACACAGGATACGTGTGAGCATAGTCCTTCCGAATCAGATCTCTCGACAAACTTTAGGCCTGCTTATGTCGGTGGAGCTTCATTCAAATTGCTATGACCACGGACCAGAGCTACGTATGATTATAGCCAAATCATATCAAGCAGCTTGATGATCTCGAGATATATATATTTTGTACCTAATGAGGGGCTATTCCAGCATGGTATTGGGCAATTAGAAGAGAACGATTCGGAAATAAATGCACCCAGCTAGCAAGCGTCCTCGCAGCCGAGAGAGTGGCAATCACCCAATCACCAATATCACCACTCTACCTAGTACATAGAAACTGTGGGATGTTAGCAACGACCCTAGCCTGTAAGGGAGACAACATATCACGCACCTCAGCCTATGCACCGTTCAGTGTGGTTTCTCAGCATGTTGAACCGCACGCGATACATTGACCAGGGTCGTCGGCAGGACCACACTAAATAAAACAAAGTAGTTAGTCCACCGATACTCTGATCTAGATCATTGGGAGGTCATTGCCTACCCAGAAAGCACCGTGTGGTAGATGGGGTCCTCGACGGGCGAGCCATCACACCAGCGCTTCCAGAGTCCTTCGGGAGTAATGTCCCTTTCATCGTGATTACCAGTAAGAGACGCAGTCACCATGAAGGCGAAGAGAGCTGCGATAGTAATGATGGGCTTCATTTTGAATGATCGTGTTACGAGATTGATGTGGACGGAAATTCCGTCTTGTTTGCTCTGAAGCGTGTCTGGGGAGTGGTTTCAAAACAGAGGAAAGACATGGCTTTATACTTCACATCCAAGTCGTCTTATTCTCAGTCTTTCGCTGTCTTCATGGATGAATTGTTGCATGTTGCTTGTGTTTTCCTTACATCCTCCGTATATCCGGCCCGGGTGGTTGTTGGGTTTCGGGGAGCCACAATAGAGATTGTTCTCTGGTTCATATTTTGTCGCAAGAGGGGTCGACAAAATGGCAGAGCTTACTAGGGAATAACACGATATTGTTCTTGAAGGAGTTCTGTAGTTGCGTTCGTAGATCTTGAACAGTTTTAGCACAACTTCATCTCTGAAGCTTGCTCTCGTAGAATCGCTGCGCGGGGACAGAGCACTTATCGTGTTCGATTACGATTCCTCGTAGCATAAGCTAAACGATCTACAACCTCATGATCTTGTCAAACTGCCCCTTGAGCGTTAGTGTAACGCCTTGCACACTTACATGATCCGATGTTGTAACAAGGGCTAGAGGTCTAGGGCTTGGAAAGGGGTTTCAATTTGCAATAATCTTCTTGGGCATTAAGGAGGCCATACAGGTCTGGCTTTCTTCTTTCAGCTCTCGCGGCGAACCTAGGTCTATATACACGAATGGTCTCGCGCTTGCTTGCTTCAGCAATTTCAAGTCCTGTTCCACAGCATCGAACAAACACGATCATTCCGAATATTTCAAAGCCCGAACAGTTCTATCGCCGAATCGCGCAGCAGTTACACGATGTTGCCGACCTCAGCCACCGGAAGTTGCCTGTGGCCGTGGTTGTGGCTGATCCGTGTGACAGATGTGATGCTGCAAGCGTGCCGGAGGTAACTCCTCTACGCCAATTTAATCCTTCTGTACATTCTGCCATCGTCAAGTCCTAAGTTGTAATGGGTGCTAGAGCGCTGACCTGCAATATACTCCCAAACAAAAGGCCACAGTTAGCCAACAACAGAGTAGGCCTAGGATTGGCGCTGTTAAAAGAGGGCGTCGCCGAGTAATGGTACGGATCTGTATTTCCATGCCAATCTACACCCCTTGCTAAAGGCTTTAGTGACCCACTAAGCCGGACAGTCAAAGATGCTCTCGGATCTGATGTTTGACCACTATTTGCTAGACACCGCTTGTTATATTGGATTGCGTTAACGCTGTCAGTGCTGTATAGCCGAAAGTGTCCAAGATGGGTTTTGGAGTGTCTTTCCAGGACCGCGTGAATTTGAATAAGCTAGACTGCATTTTTGGAGTGAACAGCGAGAACACTTCAAGGAATACTGCGACTGTATAGAGACGTTGGGGTCAAAGCAAAGTAGCCTAATCATTCATGACTCTGTTGTAGTCTTTACTATTTATGTATGGTACATTATTTACAAGATTCACGCCAAGAAGAATGCAGTTCCCGCCCAGCTTATGCGGATTAGTTGTGCAGCTCGTCATTCTTGAATGTAGTCATGCCAACAATAGGCCACCAGAGCCAAGCAATAACTATCAGTTGCTATCACCACGAACAATTGCTACTCAATTTGGCTTTAAATCCATAAACATTTACTTAGCATCTCAAAATAAAATTTCCAACCCGAGATTAATCAAAGAAGGCTAGCTCTCCTAAGATATCCTACTGAGAATAGCGTATACCGATCGTGTCACCGTGTTCTCGCTTCTTTTCACATGTCTTATGGATTTTCTTGAGCTGAAGTCGGGAAGAAGTACTCAACCGAAGAGAGTTCTGAAATGAGCATTCCAGAGTTCTACCGGCGTGTGGCTTCCGGATTCGCCTGCCTCATCTTAAACGCTGCTGTCTGGTTCCCCTTCCTTCAGCCAACACCTTTTCAACCCACGTAGTATTTCCCAAAAAATACTATTAACATCACATACTGGATCGATTATTCAAAATTGTGGACATTATCATTCTCTTATTGCAATGGGCACATAATCCGCCTAATACTCAGCTCCTACATGAGCACTTGCCTAAGGTCTTTTGCAGCTTCAAACTCAAAGGTACCATCGCAATCCTCTCGCCCTCTGCGTAAAAGTCTGCACTGCTGCATCCTCACACCTTGGAAAAGCCTTTACTCACCTCCTACTCAATGTGCCTTTGCTGTCTTCAAGGTATAAATGCGCGCACCTGCACGATTTGCATTTTCAAATCTGGGATACAACTAACCGCTTTTGCTAGACTGCAGCTAATACTCAACTCTTAACATTCAAGTTCCTTCTACTATCCTCGTTAGAAGTTACCTCAGGCTTCACGTACATAGGTAGGAACTGGTATTTACTGAATAAACTTGATATTATAAGCTAACACATAATTGTTTCAAAGTTGAGATCTGGCAATGGCGATTATTCAAGGGTTTCCAGGCTTAGAGGTCACTATTTTCACTGGTGGCCGCACTGCGAAGGAATACGATGATCCATCAGAAACCGGCGAAGCCCATAACAAGCACCCACGGGTAGTCACAAAATACATCGAATGCAAAGACAACGAGCCCTTCAGAATCCATCTCAAGGCAACCGATGAGTACTCATGGGGCTTCAAAGACCACATCCTCAACTTCGGGGCAGTAATTGATGGCGTTTGGGCAAAAGGTGAGCTATGCGGACAGGAATATACCAAAGAAGAAGATTGGGAGCGGGAGATTAGCTACCGTGTAGTGAAGGATCCCAATGACTATGCGCGTTACATTCTTCAAGAATTTGCCTTCTCAAGCATCATTAAAGGTAAGTACCTATCATTCATGCGCATAAACACTACTAACACTCACTCATAGCCGATGATGTCACAGATGAGCAGCACGAGTCCGACATGGAGACAATAGAGCGACTCGGCACAATCGAGGTCAAGGTACATCGCGCCATAGTACAAGACAATGGTTCGATATTCGTACCTGGCGGTAATCATCCCAAAGACTTCATTATATCACGAGAAGCAGTGAAAGGAAGAGCTAAATCCCATGGAACTAAGTCAGCCAAGTTATCAATCTCTTGAAACAACATAAATTAATTAAAGGTCTAGGTTCACTCGTACGCAGGCTGCAGTGAAGCCCCAGTACATCAAATGCTTGGCCCTTAGAGAAGACGATGGACCCATTGCTATCTTTCGATTTAAATATCGATCTCGAGGTAGGACATTCCTAGTCGTGTTGGAAGATTAATTTGGCTTGATCTAACAAATAACATTACTTCTAGAAGCTCTAATACTGGAAGGTATCACGCCTAGCCCTCAGCAACCATTCCCTTGGCTCGTGGAGATCTCGGATGACGAGAAGGATAGAGGCAAGCGAAGTAACTTTGACGGTAACGTGAGTGGTGTACAATCGAAAGAACCGCTCTATATGAAGACTAACCTAATCTCGTAGAATCGAAATTCCCCTTGTAACGGCAAGAAAGTTGAAACGAAGATCAAGAAGGAAAAAGAGGACAACGGTATACCATCTTCTGCAAGTTCGACCACTGGCCACAATAACAATATTGGGCAAGTAGAACAACCCCAGCTGAAGCGTTTTCCCGTCATCAAACTCGACCTTTCTAGATTCCAGAATGCGGCCAGTACACACAATATCTCTAAGCCGAAAAGCATTGGCTCAAGGGCCAAGGATCCCCATCGTAAGCTTGTATACAAAGATCTCGCGCACAAGAGAGACAGTTTGAAGAAACAAAATTGTGCCGACAGCCAAGCTCGCCTTGGTGCTACCTCGCATCATAATACCTCCCTACCCGTAACTAACGCCAGCCCTCAAGTAAAGATAGCAAC